GACTTGGAAAGATTCGGTGAAACAGCTACAACATCACAATCACTTTTTTGCTCATCGACCCTTGTAGAACAAAGTGGTTTCTGCAACTGCAGATAGGGACTCAACAATGATGGGGAACCTTCCTTTTTCGTAAGGGTTATGGTTTTTTGATTAATGCCGCAAGTTTGTGCGTATGTTGAAGGGGAAGATTTGGGTGTGGTGGACTTAGAAAATGACGATTTGTAGTTACCATTTATCTTTTCGGGTGTTTCATGATATTGTCGATACGACTTTTCTTCACAGGTATTATCGTTTTCATTAGGTGAAAGTCGTAGAGTTGGTATATTTAAAGGGCTTAGCGGTGATCGTGGTTGACCTATGCTGCGCTGCAACTCTTTTAAATCACTGGCATCCAGCAATGATTCGCTAAAACTTATTGTGTCAGCTTGTGATTCAGATCCTCGCATTTTTTGTGGATCCCAATTTTCTTTATTTTCTGATAACAATTCCTCGAGCGTATTTAGGCTATTTGTGTATCGTTCAACGGATTGTCTTACACTGGCTGATGTATGGGCTGCGACAGCCAATTGTGGGGCCTTATTAAATTGAAATGGCTGAGCAACACTGCTTTGCCGTAATTCGTTTCTTTCGCGGTTTTGAGGTGACTTATTACGTTTTGGTTTTTTCAACAAATCGATAAGATGTGTTGATGAAATATCTCCATCAATGTTTTTAGCTGAAAAAAATTTATTAGGTATATTTTTACTTATAAAAGCTAAAAAGGTGTTAAAAGCTATAATATATACTACTTATAATTTCAATTAAAACAGTTTGATGCGATTGTTGTTGTTTCAAACGGGGAAATTATTAATGTAGAAATTATTAAGTACTTACTAAAGGCCTTTTTGATATGCGACAGCGAGAGCAAATACGATTCCTCTTCTTCTTTCGTGCCATTGCCGGAATCTTTACTCTCATGTTTATCTCCTTTCTGTTTCTCATATTCTAATATGCTATTATAAGCAACGTTTGGTGCTTTACTATATGTCCTATTATCAATTTGGGGTGTTAAGTCTACGTCATTTGTGGATGCAATGACTTTCGTAGTTCCTATTGGCGTGCTCAAGCTAAGTGTACTTTGTGTTTCATCTACCAATGCTATTGGAGGACGCATGCGCTCGGGACTCAATGACCGCACTATATTTTGTAAATCTTCTGAACGTTGATTGAAAAAGCGTCCCATAGAAAAATTGGGGTCTCGCGCCAAAATCGAGCTGTATAAAGCGAACAAATTTTATAGGGAGGTAAGACAGAAATCAAAAACCTAGACTAGTAAAGATACATAATCCTATGTCAAATATTTTTTACCTGTTCGGATTGGATTGTAGATCAAAATCCTTTCCCTCGACTGTTTTTTCCTTCTCCTCTTTATTCAATGCAGATGTTGGTATGGTGGCGAATTCTTGTGCCCAAGCCATTTCGTCCATCAACAACTTCGACTGCATTTTTTCTGCGGGCTGAAATTCCTCGGAGTTGACTCCGGTTTCATTTGTCATATTAAATGAAAACTGACCGCCGGCAGCTTTACCAAATGTTGTATCTGTGGTATTAAGCGATAAATCAGCCGTTCGAAGTAAAACATGCGAATTATTTAAACTTCCTAATGTAGTGCTCGATACTGAAGTGCGTTCACCTAAAGCCTCGCCGAGATTTCGAGCTTTGGGCGCAAATGAAGTGGCGAGAATGTCACCGACTGATAGCCGACTAGATGTTGTGGCAATACTGTTTTTCGGATTTTTATGTGAATTTCGCTCTGTATAATGTGTGGATCGACCAGTTATTTCCGACGGTTCAAATGAAACTTTTGTGTTATTTGTTGAAAGAGTGCTCTTAAAGTTTAGGTTGATACTTTCATCTGTCACCAAATCGGAAATATTGATGGAATCTGGTCGGCAATAAGGCACATATTCCGTACGATTAAGTTCTGGAAAAACATTGTTATGAGCGAAAAAGACAAGCACAAAGAGTAAGAATCTTACTTCTTGAGGAATGTGGTGTAGTTATTTCATCTGGTACTTTTAAATAATCTTTTTTTACAAAGCTTTGCTGTATTATTTTATTTACATTTGGTGATGTAGTTATTTCATCTGGTACTTTTAAATAATCTTTTTTAACAAAGCTTTGCTGTATTATTTTATTTAAATTTGGTGATGTAGTTATTTCATCTGGTACTTTTAAATAATCTTTTTTTACAAAGCTTTGCTGTATTATTTTATTTAAATTTGGTGATGTAGTTATTTCATCTGGTACTTTTAAATAATCTTTTTTTACAAAGCTTTGCTGTATTATTTTATTTACATCAGATTTTACGGATTTGCTGGCTTTTTCCAAGGTTTCCAAAGCTCTTAGTCGTTCCTTCTATTAAA